GTTGTTGAGATATTTTAATTTAAAAATTAAAAAAAATTCACTAAAAACAATTTGTCCCTTTTCTATTGACTCCACCCTATATGAAAAATTAATATTGGTAATAAATTTTTTTTAAACTGATATATATATAAAATACTTACCAAATATTGTTCCATATAGCGCTTCATATGCTTTTTCTTGCATATCAAACTTCGAGACCGGAGATTTAATATTATATCACAAACCGCTAACGTAAAAGTGCAATGATGATTAGTTAATTCAGGAACAGCAGAAGTACTAAAGGCAGACCTTCCAATGATGAAAACCCAAGAAAGACCCTCATTGTTCAGCTCAAAAAGAGCTTCATAACATTCTTTGACCTGAGGGCTTTTTTCCACTTAATAATGTTTGTTGTGGCAGTATTGCTTTTGAGAGGAGGCAGCTTTTCACGACCGAATACCTTCCAAATTGAATTATGGACGTTTTGTAGTGCTGCTCTGCGGTGATTTTTTGCTTTTTGTAAAAGCTAAAAAAAAGATTTAATATATCAATAATAAACAATTAAAATGAGTAAAAATGGTAAAAAAAAAACAAAAAAAAAACAAAAAAAACAAAGGTTATTACATGCCTGACTATACCATATATCATGAAACTTGTTAGTAAATTCATTTTCACTTATATTCCGCATAAATTCTGGGAATTTATCATCTAAATAGCCTTTGAGGGCACCCTTTAGTATGATTTGGGTGGGATAGATGTCGCGAGGAAAAAGACGTTTTACAACTCCAGTATATACCTCCTGCAAAATTTAAAAAAGCTTAAGTAAACATTTGAAATGCAATACTATGTTAATAGTAAGTAGTTCACTTACGTCCAACACCTTTGCTAAAAGATCTTTTTTCTGATTTGTCCTTTGACGTTTAAGTTCGTCCTTTATTTCCTGGATGTCCTTTTTCAATTCCTTGATTAAAATATATAACTCTCGGGTTTTAGTATAAAGTTTCTCCTCATTTTGCTGGTAGCACAAAAGTTGCTCCTTAATTTGGTAGTGCAAAAGTTCTTAGAATTGTTTTTTTTTTTTAAAAAAAAAAAAAAGGTGTTTGCTTAGAAAAAAAAAAGTTTATATACCATGATTTCTTGGCTGATTCCTATTAGTGGATCGATGATCTCGTAATTTAGATCGTGATCTTTCTGATTTTGCCCCCGGCGATGAAGATCTGCCATGCTTGATAGAATGCGATGCGTTACGGAAATAAGGTGATAGCTGTCGGTTTCATAATTGGGTAATTTGTCATACTTGTATAGGTTTTTTACCACTTTTATCACTTATTCTTGCAAATTTTTTTTGTGCACTTCTAATACTTTTGAGTGATGAATCCAAAGAATCTTCATCATAAGTATTATAAGATGGTTGGTGAGGATCAGCGATGTGTCGAGATGAATAAGCAATCGATTGAGATCAAGATGTAATGATAGATACAACAATATAAGGATAAAGCATTATTATGTAAATTGTTATCAGTAGGTAAGTTTTTATTTGAATTATTATTAGAAGTATTGTTATTAAAAGTGGAAACGTTGTTATTAGGAGGTAAATCATTATTTAAAGCATTATTATTGTTATTGCAAGTGGGAGCGTCATTATTTGAGGAGTTGTTGTTATTATTAGGAGGTAAATCATTATTTAAAGTGTTATTATTGTTAATATTGTTAATGCAAGTAGAAGCAATGTTATTAGATGAAAAAACATTGTTAGAGTTCATTTCAAAAATTCTTTACCTTTTTCAAATGAAAGAATTGGGTATATTTATATATCTAAGAAATAATAAAAATTAATGATGCCGCTTAATTCATTACATAAAAAAAAAAAAGTGAAGTATGCTTATTTGTTTACTTATATATAATGTATCTAAGAAATAAAAAATTTATATATAATAATGATCATTATATATGAAAAAAAAGCAAAAGTATGCTTATTTGTTTTTTGTTTCTACTTACATGTAATTATAATCTATGTTTCTCAGAAATAAAAAATTAATATATAATAATGTTAATTATTATATACGAAAAAAAAAGCGAAAGTAACTTATTTTATTTGTTGTTTTTTGTGATATCAACAATACATGTGTAATAATTCGCTGAGTTACTATTAATAATTTCCGAGAAAGAAATATATTAAATAATATTATATGAGGAGGTGTGGCGACTTAGTGAAGTGGTCAAGTCGTCACCCTCTCCAAGTAGCAGGTCTAGGGTTCAAATCCCACGGACGACGAAAGTTTG